AAGGTATTGCATCTCTAGAATCAGACCATACAGGGTGGGCAGGCCACACCAAGTCATAACTGCACTCTCACTAGCTGCTACAAGCTGTATGGACATAATAATATGGTAGGATCTACCACATAGGAATTGTAAAAATGAGATAAATGATGTATGCTAATCTCCATAGTACTGGGCATACAGTAAAACCTCTGTATGTCAGGAATCACTGTTACATGTGTAGCAGACAGTGTGAACTCAGGAGAGATCAGAGATAGATACACACTTTTGGGAGTCTTTAACAAATAGGTTAAATAAAGGACAGTGGATAAGATTTCTATAAATTGGGGATCCCCAGCCCCCACCCCATAGACTGGTACTGGTCTTGTTAGGAACCAAACGAAATAGTACGAGGTAAGTGACAGGTAACAGAATGAAACTTCATCTGTATTTATAGCTATTCCCCATTACTGCCTGAGCTCTGCCTCCTGTAGAAGCAGCGGCCTTAGATTCTCATAAGAGAATGAACCCTACTATATGAACTGTGCATGCAAAGGATGTAGGTTGCACATTCCTTATGAGGGTCTAATCCTGGTGATCTGATGTGAAGCTGAGGCAGTAATGCACTGGGGAGTGGCTGCAAGTGTAGATTAACATTAGCAGGGGTTTGACTGCGTAGAGACCGTAATAAATTAGTTGCTTGCAGACGCATATTGAAATACTATCAGTGAGTGACAACTGACAAGCTGCCGCTAGAGGCAGGATTTATAGTGGCAAGTGAGTTGATGTACTTCAACACCTACATCTGGTGGCAAGATTTAAATCAGAATCTGACACTTATTTTAGTCTGTGTGTGACTTGCCCATTATTTTATTTACCACTTATGTCCATCCACTTTCTCACACTGTATACTTGTCTTGATAAGTTTTGGTAAGCCTTGGCTAACCCTAGCCAAAAGGAGTAAAAAACAAATGTCACTTCTTTAGTCTTCTTTGAAAAGGAGGAAAGAGCCAGTAGTAAGACAGCAGAAGACTCTAAGACTGCCAGCAGAAGAAAGCTGCATTTAAAAGAAAATACCAAGAGTCCTACTTAAATTATGGATTTATTGCCACAAGTGATTCACATTTTCCAAGCCACTTTGTATAATATGTGGTGAGCAGCTAGCCACTGAAGCCATGAAACCTTCAATACTACTTTGCCACATGAAGACCAAACACCACACATTAAAAGACAAGCCTTTGGAGTTTTTCAAAAGAAAAGACATAAACATGAAGAACAGAAGCAATTATTGAAGGCCACTGCCTCATCAATAATGTCTGCACTAAGAACATCATTCTTAGTAGCTACAACATAGTTAAAGCGAGGAAGCCCTTTACTATTGGTGAACTTGATCTTGCTTGCTGCTAAGGATATCGTTGTGAACTTTTTTTTTTTTTTTGGTACTGGGGATCGAACTTGCCGTTGTAAACTTTTAAGAGAGGCTGCAGTTGAAAATGTGGTACACGTTCCTTTTCTTGGCTAGCAGCATAACTAGATGAATTGACGAAATGGCAGAGGATACTGAGACACGATTGTTTGAAAGTATTAATGAGTTACTGTGGCACACAATCCAGATTGATGAGTCTCTGGATGTTGACAACTAGGCAGCAATGCTTGTTTTTATGTGATATGCTGTGTAGGAGGATGTGCATGAGGATGTGCACTTTTGTTGCTATCTAACATCACAGCTGCAGAATTATTCAAGTATTTGAATGATTACCTATCAGGGAAGCTGAAAGAATCATTTTCTGTTGGTATATGCCTGACTGGATGGCTTTCTGGTTTCACTGTTGTGGTCAAAGAGGTCACTTCTGGATGTGAGTTTATGCACTGTGGGAAAACTGGCTAGTCAAAAATGTTACCTGAACTTAATATTTTGCAGAATGTGATTAAAATTATCTGCCACATTGAAGAACATTCACTTAACTCACATCTATTGGCACAGCTCTGTGAGGAAGTGGATACAGAGCACATGTGTCTTCTTTTATACAATGAAGAAAGATGGCTTTCTAAAGACATATCACTGGCAAGAGTTTTTGAGTTACCAGAGCTATTCCAGCGATTTCTTTAGAAAAACAGTCACACTGGCAGCACGTTTCATTGACACAGAATGGGTCATACAACCTACTTAATCACATGATATGTTCAACTTGCTCAGCAAACTAATTTGTCACTTCAGGGGAGAATGACAACTGTGTTCAGGTTGGCATATAAAGTGGCTGCATTGGAAGCCAAACTAGAATTGAGCAATGAATGAACATTGGGATTTTTGACATGTTTCAAACATTAGCAGATATATTGAAAGAGACTGGGCCATGGCCTTCTTTCTCCCAGCTGGTTCATGATAACCTATCTCAGCTTTCAAAAGAGTTTGAGCATTACTTCCCAACCACAGGGACCCCCCAAACTGGGAAGGAATGGATCTGAGATCCATTTGTAATAAGCCAGGTGAATCAACTTTGTTCATACTAGAAGAGGATCAACTGCTAAGGATCACAAATGTTGCTGGCCTTAATGATGATTTTGAGACAGCTTCTAATCTCCATATATTCTAGGTTAATGTTCCCATTGCCTTGAACCACCAGAGGGAGGTAAATGCAGGATTGTCTCATTGGGCAGTTTGTACCACCTGATGGCATTGTCTCATGCTCCCTGATAGGACAGTTATGCATGTACCATCAGAGCTGCCTGCCCTGTAATGAATGTATGAAAGTCAGTTCCTGAGATGCTACAAAAGCATTGAAAAGCTTACTTCCATTTCCAACATCCTATTTTTGTGAAACACATTTTTCTATAGTGATAGCAACCAAAACAGGATTATGGAGTAGACTGGACATAAGCAGCACATTTAGGGTATCACTGTCTCCCACCACCCTAGATGGGACTGTCTAGCTACAGGGAAACAATTGACTGCTGACTGTTTTCTCTGACTTCATGACTGTTTTGATATAAAGCAAACGAGTGTTTAGCTTTCTTCCAAAAATGATTGGAAGAAGATCATACTATTTCTGATTTATAGACTATGGGCACCAAGTTCTGTGTGCTGTAATGATTATTAGTTGTTTATTTTATAATCAAATAAAGTGTATTTATCAATTAGAAGAAAACTAGTCATCAGTATACTTTTTTATATACTCCAAGTAGCTATTCAAAGTATACAGAATGATGTTGGCACAGATTGTTAGCTTGAGTAGTATTGATACTTTTTGGATATCCATTATTTCCCTATAGGTTCACTTTTTTTTTTATTAGAGACTTAAAACTTTGTTTTGCAGTATTTTCTTAGGAAGTAAAATACGTGAGAATTATGTTGTGATATTGCTGTTTGTTGACTAAATGCCCTTTCCAGCCAAAACTGGCACCATTGGAGAGGAGTAAATAGTAGTTGATCCCATTATCTTAAAAAGCATTTAAGTTTGATTTGTTGTATGGGTATAATGAAGTTAGATTTTTACTAAAGGGCAAAGGGAAAAATGAAATAAATGTTGACTTCCAAGAGAAATCTTCCTTCATATTTTGTTTTCTTTTCATTCATTCATTCATTCATTCATTTATTTTGAGACAGGGTCTCACTGTGTAGGCCAAGCTAACCTCATATTTACGAACTTCCTGCCTAAGCCTCTCAAGTTCTAGAATTATAGGTGTGTGCCACTAGCTCAGCTGAGCCTTCTTATTTTCTTAAAAGGTCAATATATAATCATCAGACAGTTTCTGTATGTCAAATTAGATCATATTTTTAAGTTTTCAGAAGAAAGTATTCACAGTTAATTTATTGTCTTAACCATATGAATTAAGTTTTATATAAAAAACGTTAAAGCTTCATGTTAAATTTTAACTTATTTGAACAATGCTCTTATAAGCAAAATCTCTCCATGGAAGTAAGTTTCTGTGAGTGAGGGAGAGAGAGAAGCTAATCAGACTTTTAAGTGGTGGTTATTGATTACTTTGGAAATAATTTTATAAAAGTGACATTTTGTTCTTCAATTAGTAAGGGAAAAGAAAATGTATGTGAGAGAAAAGTACAGAATTAATGATTAAGTACAGAGATAATGATTAGCTATCTTGCTTTGAAGAGCCACACAATTTAAAGGACTGTCTACTGCTGCTGTAGCTGTAAATTAAAGTTTTAAAATTGGTAGTTATTGTACTTCTTTCCCCAATCAGGGTAGATAACATTAAATTTCAAAGTAGCAGTCTCTTGGACATTCCTGACCAATCCTAGTCCCAGTCTTCACTCCCATGACAACTCTGAGTGTATGTCTTAATGTGTGTGTGTTTGTGTGTTAATAAAGACATACGTGTGTATCTCACTGCCTACAGGAGACCAGTGCAGCATATGACACAGTCTTTGTTAGGGAATTCAGATGTGTGAAGGATACAGAGCTAAAACATAAATGGTTAATTTTCTGAGGAGGATTTGTGTTAGGAGGCAGTGTATCAGTGAGCCTTGAAGATGCTTAGCACTCTGGTAAGCAGAAGAGACCCATGTAGGAAAGAACACTGTGAGTGATAGCCCAGAGCTGGACACAGAAGCATCATTGTTCTGCTGTGGGGTGGTGAGGTTATACAAACTAAGCTGGGGTTTGTGAACATTTAACTGTTTCCTGATACAGTTTTCCTAGTAGTTACTTCTAGAACTCTAGATAATAACTTTATATACTTGATTTTTCAAACTTCAGATAAAATGGACTCTTAGACATTAAAAGTTTTTCCTTATACTGCACTGCTTTTTCTTGCTCCTCTCAATATTAGTACTGATTTTTGTTTTTACAACATTCTTCCTTGTTATTTATGTTTGTAACTATTTTGTTTGTGGCTTGTGTGTTCCCCCAGAAGACAGATGATATTTAATATTGAATGTTAAATAAGCTGTTATGTTTTTGGACAGGAGAAGAAAACAATTGGAAATGATGCGTATAGGTCGTTTGAGTAAGAAAAGATTTATACTACTTTTAAAATGAAAGCTAACATGTTTTTCTTTTTAGGTTGAACAAGTAAAATTACTTGACCGATTCAGTACCAGCAACAAGTCATTAACAGGAACACTGTATCTTACAGCCACACATCTATTATTTATAGACTCTCATCAAAAAGAAACCTGGGTAAGAAGGACTACAGCCAGACTGCTTACCGTAGCAATAGCAGTGTTTTGCTGTGTTTTAATTTGAATATTGTCTTAGTCCCTTTCTTTATTACTGGAACAAAATGCCCAATACCCACAATTTAAAGGAGGGAGGGTTTATTTTGACTCAGTTTACAGTCATGGTTGACTGTCCAAGGCAGGATTGCACTGCTGAGGGGCATAGTGGAAGAGAAGCTGCTCATGTCATGGTGGTGGGGGAGTAGATTGCAAGTAAAGGGGGTTGTAACTCAAGTTGGTTGTAAGTCAGTACACCTGAGATCGGGCGGGGAATTTAGCTCAGTGGTACTGCCACCTGCCTTGCAGGCACAGGGTCCTGAGTTTGATTCCTGGTACCAAAAAAAAAAATACACCTGAGATTTGGATGTTTACCAGGGTACAGGCTATAGATACTAAGGGGCAGATGAGTCTTCCATTAACCTAAATAACCCAAATTATTCGTATGTCAGGCCAGTCGTAACTTGAGGGTCCACTGTATATGTCTTTTAATTAAATTAAAATTTTTAATATTAGAGATTTTTCATTTTATTATGGCTTGTGCTCTTCTGTGTTTTAAGAGATCCATATGTCAAGATCATAAATGTTCTTCTATATTTTTGTTTTGTTTTGTGTTTTGGTACCGGGGATTGAACTCGGGTCCTTGTGCTTGAGCAGCAGGCGGTGAAACCACTGAGCTAAATCCCTGGCCCTCTATATTTTTTCTAAAAGCTTAAGTTTTGTCCTCTACATATAAGTTGTAAATACATTTAGGAACTATTTTGGTGTGTGGTGTGACGTAGAGATTCAGCTTTTATTTTTTTATATGGACATGCAGCACCGTTTATTGACTATTTTATTCCTTTGGGCTTTAGAACCAGCTTTGTCATAAAGAAATCTTCTGTGTATGAGCTCTCTGTTCTATTCTTTTGGTATTGACTATACTGTACCAGCACCACAGTGTACTTTAGGAAGTTTTAATGTCTAGTAAAGAAAATCCTCTCAGCTGTTTTTTTTAGGGGGGGGGTGTCCTGGGGATTTGAACTCAGGACCTTGCGCTTGCGAGGCAGGTGGGGTGCCACTGAGCTGAATCTCCAGCCCACTCTCAGCCTGTTCTTCAAAACTGTTCTGACTGTTTTGTGCTCTTTATTCTTCCCCTTATTTATTTACTCATTCATTTCACATACATTTATTGAGCACCTACTGTGTATTTTCTCTCATATTGCTATTCTAGATATTTTTTGGAAATAGAAGCCAATAATAGGAATTTTGTCCTTTAGTGGGGAAAGACAAATAAGATACATGATGAGTACTCAGCAGAAAAATAGGAAAGGGGGACAGAATGTGGGGTTTATTTGTATATGCTTAAGAGAGACAGGCTTGAGCATGTTTCTTTACTACCCTGGCTAAGCCAGGTTTTGTAACCTCTGTTTTATATATAAAGTTGAAGTTAAGGGAGGTAGTGATTTGTTCAGTGTCACATAGGTAGCACAAAATAGAACGCAGATTTTGGGCATCATTGATCTCTTGAGGGAGGTGAGTACTGCCTGTAAGGACAAGGGAGAGGATGACAGACCCACAGTGTCTGTGCCAAAGTGTATAACTGAGCTTAATATTTCCATAAAATGGGCATAGCATCAGTTTTCATGTGATTCTTAAATGAGAGAAAATAGGAACAGCATCTAGGCCTAAAGCACAGTAGTGGGTCAGTAAATCATAGCTGCCCTGTTTTTCTAAGCAATAGAGTCAAGGTTAGAGCAACCACATTGCTCTGAGGTACACTGCTATGGCACTTCCTTCTTTTTGTACTCTTGAGTTCCCCAGAAGGCCATCCAGGTGATGTATGATTGTAGCAAGGAAGTTCAGGTGCTCACCCTAGAGGTGAGCTTGAGTAAGTTGTATTCCTTAGAGGCATTGGGTCCCTTCTCTACCCTGGGGCTGGAGTTTTGCTGAATGGTGCCTTGTGAAACCAGTACTCGTATCATCATCCACTCTGTGTATCCTTCCTTTGTATACCTGCTTCAGTATCTTCTCTGTGTGTTTTCCATCTTTGGAACACATACGAAGTACAGATTTGTCATTCCTTCAGAAAGGATGAGTAGGTCTTTCCTTCAAATTCATTAGATGTTGAGAGCATAGTTGGAGAGAAAGGCAGTAAAAGATGTTATTTTCTCCAACTGTTGTCTTTAAAGTGCTGTCTTACTAGTACATTCCTGTATATTCCTCCTGAATTAAGTCTGTTTAGTGTGCTAGATCCATAGAAATAGCATTTTAACTTTAGAAGGAACCTTACTCACCTTTTATCCTGTTGTCTCATTTTACAGATTACTGTTTTTTTAGGGTTCCATGAACTAGGTAGAAATAGAGCTAGATCCCTTCATAATTCTTTTGCAGATACTTTTGGATTTTATTTAGGATCATAGTAGTCACAGAACGATAGTGCATTGTCCCTTGTTCTCTATTGAGATGTCACATTAGATCATTTTTAGTAAGTTAGCACAGGCTCTGTATATAAAGATTAATGGTGCTGAATTTTAGCCATACAAAGGAGCTACATGTATGTACTGTATATGTTAATAATCTATGATATGTATAGTTTTAATTTTCACAAGATAAGTTCTCTCATTACACTTCTTTCTCAAGCTTTTTTTGATAATTTGAATGCATTTAATCTTGCATGTGAACTTTAGATTTAACATGTAATATAATTAATGATATTAACATAGTAATACAATATCTGTGTATTATATAATAATTATCCCTTACCCTGCCATAAAAAATAGGAATGGTATTGAAAAAAACCAGACTTTTAAAAATAAGAAACAAAGTATTAGTAGCACGTGGGAATGATAATCAGCTCAGTATTGAGTTTATAGAATAAATTTTAATTCATTTACTTAGTAAACATTTATTCTGATGGACAAAGGTATGAGGGATGTCGCCTACATTTCTGGCTAGGGGTATGCAGTCATTTAAAAAACTATATATTTTTCGCAAGCACAAGAACCCGAGTTCGATCCCCGGTACCAAAAAAAAAAATTATATATTTGAAAGCTTAGAACATAATATTTGAGACCTTATTTGAGGGTGCATTCCTAACATTTATACATTCTGAGAGAGAATAAATATTTAGTTCTTTCTGCATCGGTGACTTAAATTTTTTCATTCTGTAGATATTACACCACCATATTGCCTCAGTAGAGAAACTTCCTTTGACTACTTCTGGATGCCCTCTCTTGATTCAGTGCAAGAACTTCAGGACTGTCCATTTCATTGTTCCCAGAGAAAGAGATTGCCATGATATTTATAACTCTCTGCTACAACTGTCAAAACAAGGTATTGTTCTTAGAGACCGAAGTTTACATGCTCAATTTGAGATGAATTATCCAAGGTACTTTTTAATGTCTCATTATTGTTATTTTGTACTTTAAGTTATCCAGACTGCTTCTTCCTACCCCCCCCCCTTAAAAATAATTAGAAACTATTGATCTGAGTTGTAAGAATGGTGTCCAAGGGCTGGGGATTTAGCTCAGTGGTTCCGCCCCTTGCCTTGCAAGCACAAGGACCTGAGTTTGATCCTCCGTACCAAAACAAAAACAAAAAAAAGAATGGTGTCCAAATCAAAACATTTACAGTGTAGACTGAAGAAACTATCTATTTATATTTATAGTTATAATTATATTTATAGTTTAAAAATCTCTTGATAGCAAGGAGCACTTTAAAAGTAGGTATTCCACAAACAAGGGTATTGACTTGGAAAATGATATTACTAAATGAAAAGATAAGGATGGTCAAGTTCCTCTGGTAGCAATAGGACTAAAATATTTAATAGATTAGGGTTGGACAAAAGGCAGATGAACAGGGGCATGAGAGTGTATCCTATTTTAGTAGAGGTATGGTTAAGAAAAGGATATAAGCTCTAAAGAGGCATCTTCTCCTGCTTATGCCCCAGGAGTCTGGAGACACTTTTTCCCCCTACATGACTTAGATTACTTGTTGAACTGGATTTCACTTGAGCAGCCTGCATGCATGGTCTTAGAAGCAGGTCTGTATTCATTGTTCTCTACTAGCAGGTAGAACCTGCAGCATTCTCTTCTTCCAAGTTAAGCCACAGCATATAGTAAAGATGCTTCTGTGACTCCAGCCTTATTCTTCAGAAGTAAGTGTGCTCCTGAGTTTGGTTGCTATTTTTGGTCTACACTCTCCTGTGGGACTATGTAATGCAATTTCATGTGCTCTGCGCTATCTCTAGTTTTTCATTATGGCATTGTGCTTTCCATTTTACATGTCATTGCGAAAAGTGATGAGTAGGAAGTATCTGTGCTTTTACAATTTAACTTTTAGGAAAATATTGCAATAGAGGATTTAAAGTCTAAGTCTAAAGCTTAATTTTTGCTCATGACAGATTGAATCTCAGATTCATATATGTGCTTTCAGATAAAATCATTTGTATCACAGAATTTAGAAAATATTAAGTTCAAGTATAGTATGTTCACATACTAGCTATCTTCTGAAATTTCAAAGAAAAAATGGAGGGCAAATTGGAAAAATTACTTTTATTATAGTGTGTTAAGTCTTATAGATTGCATTTTAATGTTTTTATATGTTGTATTTTATAGCAAAATATGAAGATCTCTATGCATTCTCTTATAATCCCAAACAAAATGATTCAGAACGACTACAAGGTTGGCAGCTCATTGACCTCACTGAAGAATATAAGAGGATGGGAGTGCCAAATTCAAACTGGCAGTTGTCTGATGCCAACCGAGAATACAAGGTAATTTAGCAACTTTTTGGGAAAATTCAGAAAATGTTAGTACCAGAGGGGAGAGGGTGTAATAGCAGCAAGTTGTCTATGTATTGCAGTATGCTGTTCTCGCACTTAATAAGTTTAAAAGTTTTTAAAGGTGAATTTTAATCTCATGGCTTTTGAACTGTGATAGAGCGGTCTTGTTTTGATATTTACAGATTTGTGAAACTTATCCCAGAGAACTTTATGTTCCCCGGATAGCAAGCAAACCAATAATTGTTGGTAGTTCCAAATTTCGGAGCAAGGGAAGATTCCCAGTTCTTTCTTACTATCACCAAGATAAGGAGGTAGGAACCTTCTCTTTTGATTTTTGTTAACATAATACAACTCTTTTTTTTTTAGGTTTGAGTACCTAGAAGAATACTAACTTTTACTTTATGGTGTCATTATTATAATGTTAATAGAAATGTGCTAGCTTTTCACAGAATTACATTTTGAGAATTTTAAAGTAAAACTACCTTGAAATGTAGAACTTTTTGTATTTATTATCTTTCTTCCTTCCAGTAGTGACTTGAAAATAATGAGATTAGGGAACAGATAGAGTCTTCTTTTTTGTAGTCCTCTGTCCATCTTGACTATATTTGGGAAAACCAGATAGCTCAGCAAGCCGACCATTGAGTGAAGGGAGAGAACCAAGGGCATTTTAGGGTCCCATTTTAATAGTAAGTTCTTCAAATCATGAGGATTTTACAACATGAAAAGGTGGAAGAAGGATCTTTATACTGAGGTGATGTAATAGGGATCACATGTTATAATAAAACTTAGCTTTGTGACCTACTAACTGTAGGGCAAGAGGTACTTCATATGCATAGCTTGGTGACTTCATACTGTAAGGCTCTGCTAAGTACCTGTGACTTTCAAGTGGGGAAACTGAAGTATATTTCATAGCAAGGAAGTTGAGTTCAGTGGCATTTTTAACATTTAGCTTTAGTGGACTTTTCTCTCCTCCCTACAAAAATTTTACTATCTTCTTTTTCCCCTGTTTTCTGAAATTTTGCAGTAATGGGCTTTAAATGACTTTTAAACTTCCACCTGGAAACTCTGATCTCAGTATTTGGAAGTTACTTTTCTGTTTCTTTGGTAATTTCCTTTCTTCTATTAGTTTTATTTGTACTTTTTTCATAAAGCATGCTTAAGTTGCAAAAGAATTGAAATTATACAATGCATACTAGTAAATCATAGTGCAGTGAAACTAGGAATCAATGACAAACACAAAAATTATGCAAATGCATGGAATTAAGCAATACACTCGAATAATCAGTGGGTCATAGAAGAAATCAAGGAAGAAGTTATACTGTTCCTAGAATCAAATAATAATCCCAGTACAGCATACCTGCCCATTATGCAGTAACAGCTTGATTGGTGGTTTGTAGTAATGAAAATACAAGTGTTTATAATATTGTACTTTCTGTCTCATTTCATTTTTTTTTGAATATTTTTAAATCACTGAGCCTATACTTCTTAATTGAAAATGTATTCAAGTTGCCATATTTACCTTGTTAAACCAGCTCAGTAGGATGCACACAGGCTTCTAATACCTTACTTTGTTTTCTCATTACCAAAGATTGTGAGATGGGCCCCAGTGTCTGGCACAGAAGGTCCACCTGGGAATAAGTCCACTTAACTATGTATCTCAATATCTGAGCTAGGGGAGGCATCTATATTTGCATTCTTAAACATGAATAATTCTTGCTCTTACTTCTATTACTGTTGTTGTTATTAACGCCAGCAGTGGTTTAGTAATATTGTGGCTCTCTTTTAACAGTACATTCTGTTTCTGAGAATGTATCCTGCAGCTCCATTCTCTTTCTAAAATCAATTTTTTATTAAATTGTGACAATTGAAATAAAAAAATATTATGGGACACAATGAAAGCAGTCCTAAGAGGAAGGTTTATAGCTGTGAATGCCCACATTACAAAAACAAAGTGAACTCAAATAAGTAACCTAATCATGAACCTAAAACTAAGGTCCTAGAAAGATAAGAACAATTCAAATTCAAAGTTAGTACAAAGAAGGAAATTACAAACAGAGCAGAAATTAATGAAATTGAGAGTAAAAAACAATACAGAGAACCAGTTAATCGAAGAGCTGGTTCTTGGAAACAGTGAACAAAATAGACAAACCCTTTGTTCACCCTTCTCTACCAGCAGATAGAACCTGTAGCATTCCCTTCTCCCAAATAAAGCCAGAGCATATAGTAAAGATGTACTCTAATAAACTGGAGAATCTTGAAGAAATGTATGGATTCCTAGATACATATGAATTACCAAAACTAAACCAAGAATATATAAAAATCTTGAATACTTCAATAATAGTCAAAGAAATAGAAGCAGTAAAAACTAACTACTATAAGAAGAGCCCAGGATGCATTCACTGCTAAATTCTGCAAGAACTGGGTCTCCAGTAGCATTCACTGCTAAATTCTGCAAGAACTGGGTCTCCAATAGCAATCAGTTAGTGCAGTACTTATAAATTCTATAAGAATTTTAGTGACGATCTAACACCAGTACTCCTCAAACTTTTTAATAATATTGGAAGGCGGACTCCCAAAGTCATTCCTCCAAGCTAGCATTATCCTGATTCTAAAATCAGAGTAGACCCAAACAAAAAAGAAAACTACAGGCCAGTCTTTAATCATCATAAATTTAAAAATCCTCAACAAAATACTAACAGAAGGCAACAGATCATCAAAAAGATCATACAGCATGATCAAGTAGGCTTCATCCCAGGGATACAGGAATGGTTGAACATACACAAACCAATAAATGTAATATACTAAAAAAAAAAGAAGGAAAGAAATAAGGACAAAACTACACTGTCATCTCAAGTGGTGCAGGAAAACTGTTTGACAAAATCCAACTTTTGTTCATGATAAAACCCTGAAGAAAATAGGTATAGAAGAACCTTATCTCAGTCTGACAAAAGCCATTTATGACAAACCAATGGCCAACATCATGTTAAATGAAAAGAAGCTGAAAGCTTTTCCTCTAAAGTCAGGAGGAAAATAGGGATGTACACTATCACCACTCTTGTTCAATATAGTTCTTGAAATATTAGCCAGGACAATCAGGCAAGGGAAAGAAATCAAAAGGATATGTATAGGAAAGGAAGGAGTGAAATTATTATTTGCAGATGATTTGATCCTCTACATAAGAGACCTGAATAATTCCACCAAAAGACTCATAGAATTAATAACCAAATTCAGTAGCATAGCAGAATACAATATCAATGCACAATTAATCCTGTACATCAATAATGAATACACTGAGAAAGAAATTAGTAAAACAGTACCATTTACAAGAACATTAAAAAGTTAAATACTTAAGATTGAACCTAATCAAGGAAGTGAAAGACCGCTACAATGGAAACTACAGTACTATGAAAAAGGAGATCAAAGAGGACATCTGGAAATGGAAAGACACCCCTGTTCCCAGATAGGCAGGACCAATGACCATAATTCCAAAACTGATATACAGTTTTAATGTAATCCCAATCAAAATACCAATAATAGTTCTTACCGAAGTAGAAAAAAAATCATAAAATTTATATGAAACACAAAGAGACCCAGAATAGCAAAAGTAATCCCGAGCAACAAGAGCAAAGTAGGAGGCATCACAATTTCTGACTTAAAGTTATACTGTAAAGCTCCAGTGATAAAAGCAGCATGGTATCAGCACCAAAGTACATATAGATCAATGGCACAGAATAGAGGATGCAGGAACAACTCTAGGTACACTCAACTATCTGATCTTTGACAGTAGGATCAAAAGTGTATACTGGAGGAAAGATAACTTCTTTAATAAATGGTGCTGGGAAAACTGGCTATCTACAATCAGAAGATGGAATCTAGATTCACCCACCTTTCACCATGTACTAAACTAAAATCAAAATGGATCGGAGATCTAAATGTTAAAACAGAAACAATCTGCTGGAAGATAAAATAGGCAAAACTCTTGAACACATAGGCATAGACAAGAACTTTCTGAACTGAACCCCAGTTACATAAGAAATGAAACTTAAGCATCAACAAATAGGATCATATCTAATTAAATAGCTCTGCACAGCAAAGGAAATGAAGAGACAATGTAGAGTGCCAGCTGTTCATTACAAAGAGCACTAATATCTAGGCTATATAAAGAACAATAACAAAAAATCAGACCCCCTAAAATACAAGACCAATAAAAGGGTAAGTGAAATGAATAGATACTTCTCAGAAGCAGTACAAATGGCCAATAAATACATGAAAAAATGTTCAGCATCTCTGGCCATGAGAGAAATGCAAAGGAAAAGAACACTGAGATTCACCTTACTCCAGAAAGAATGGCTGTCATCGAGAAATCAAATAACAAGTGCTGGTGAGGCCATAGGGAAAAAGGAACACCTCTTGGGAATGTAAACTACAACCACTATGGAATTCAGTATGGAGATTCCTCAGAAAAGTAAAAATAGCAATTCCATGTGACCTAGCTATTGCCCTTTCTAGGTATCTTCCCAAAAGAGACATAGTACAGTGATACATGTATACCCATGTTTTTAGCAGCACAACTCATAATAGTTAAATCTTGGAAGCAGCCAATCAACAACTGAATGGATAAAGAAAATGTGGCATTTATTTACATAAAGAAGGATAAACTTGAGTCACTGTAGGAAAATAGATGCACCTTCAGACCATAATTATAAGTGAAATAAATCAGATGTACAAGCTTCGATAGTGCATAGTTTCTCTTATATGGGAATCCCAAAGCATAAATACTGTAATTAAAGAGCAAAATGAAATATAGATAATAGCCAATAGGGTAATAGATCTTTTGTAAAAGGAAAGGGGACTAAGAGATAGAAGGAGAGAGGAGGAAAAGGAGGAGAATGGGATAAATAAAGGAATTGAGTTTTATTATGTAATCATTATGTACTGTAATTGTGTGCCAATAAAAGTTAAAATTTAGTATAAAAAGTAAAACCTTGTATTAGTTGACAATCGAGCTTCCTAGGAAAAACCTCCATTCTTGCTGAGTTTCTCTCCTGCTTTCCATGTCTTTGTTTTCTAGAAGATCCTTAGCTTATCTTCAATCTACTCTTGAATTTTTTTTGTGACACTATTTTTCATATTCAAGAGCTCTTTCCTATTTTTTGTGAATGTTTTAGTCAGCTTTCATTTGTTGGATGCGGTATCTTAGTTCTCTGAGGATAAGAATTTTTTTTATAAGAAGTCTTGTGCTCCCCACATAAGTTATCTTTTCCCCTCAGAGTTTCATTCTTTTGTCTTTGAAATAGCTGGTTTTTGGAAAGTTTGTGGGCATGCAGTTGTCTGTCTTTGGTTTCTTTCTGTTGTGTAAGTTGGTTTCTGTGTAAGTCAGCCTTCTGCTGCTCTGACAAAATGCCTGAGAAAATCAACTTAAAAGATTTATTTTAACTCACGATTTCAGAGGTTTCAGTGTATGGTTAGCTGGCTCCATTACTTTTAGGTCTGTGGTGAGGCAGAGACATCATGACAGGAAAAGGTTGCAGAGGAAAGGTCTGACCTCGTGACACCTAGGAAACGAGGTGGGGGCGTTGAGGAAAAAACGCACCCTCTCTGTGACCTTCCTTCACTGTGGCTCCACCTCCTGAAATTTCCAGCACCTTGGAGTAGTGCCATCTAATTATGCATCCATCAATGGATTAATGCACCGATGAGGTTAGAGCCCTCAAGATCCATTTTCCTCCTCTAAACACTGCCATGTCGGGGACAAAGCCTTGACCACATGAGTCTTTGGGGGTACATTCCAGATCCAAACTATAATAGTTTCCTTAAAAAGGGCTCTTCTGATTTTTACCAGTGTATATAGTAAGACTGGCTGTGATCCAAGCATGGTCAAGAGGGATGGTTGGATCTCATATTTTGTTATGTAGACTATATTTAATCCTGTTTTTGGTGGAGGGCAGGGTGTGTGGCTTCATTCTTTTACAGCTGTACCTATTGTCCAGAGTCTTTGGGTTAATCTTCTAAATAGAATAAGCTTTGTCTTAAGAGCAAGGGAAAATCTGGAAATTTTAAGTACCGTATTTTCCCAATAAGACTGGGTCTTGTATTTTTGCTGCTAAAAATGAAAAGGGCTTATTTTCAAGCAATGTCTTATTTTTTCATGTGCAAAAATCCACATTTTTTTATGTACAGAAATCTAAATTTATTCAAATACAGTCATGCCATCTTCTGGAACATCGTCATACTCACCAAACCCTGATTTCTGGCAACCCCCACTTCCTCTTGAACCACGGCCACAATCTCATGTCCAACAATAGAGCCCTCCTTAGATGAGCAGTTCTTATCCATGTGGCCTGCTCGCAGTGCATTGGCAACACAGCTGTCAGTGATTTTATCCCACGAATTGTTCACCCAAGTTACAACCTCTTGCAGCTGGCTTCACAAAGTTTCCATTAAATCAAGTGTTAATTGAAAACTTAGGAGACAGGAGTGGCAGCAAAAACGATGACAGTTAAGAATGATGGTCTAAACAAAAGCATAGAAAAATTCCAGGCACTGAAATTCAGAAAACATTTATTTCACACGAGTGCATTAAGTATGTCTGTTATAACACATGACACATTGAATTATGAAGATTCATAGTACACAACCACATCTGTTCGTTATCAAGTGGGCATGTTATGCGTGCATTGTGTCTATGCTCTGATTTGTCATTCAGCATTAAGTCTCCAGCTCATCTGTTTATTTAGATGTTTGCCTGTCGCCCAAAGGTGCCCACTTTGGTATTTCCAAATACTCAATTATAATATATGTTATATATTTTAGGTATTAATGTCTAATATTATTTATATTTAGTTATATATTAGTATTTATAATTCAGTACATCCATTGTGTGTCGCAGTGACTACATGCATCCATCTTAACTGGTGCTTATTTTGGGGTAGGGCTTATAAGCACCCTGAAAAATCATGCTAGGGATTATTTTCTAGTTAGGTCTTATTTTGGGGAAAATGCAGTAGTCCTTTTGTAGGCATTCCACCTGCCTTCCGGTTTTTAGCTATGCTTTTGCTCAGTCTTTCAGAGGTACAACAAACTCCTCAGGCTCCTTGGCATTATACTGTTCAAAATATCTTCTAATTGACTTAAGGGAATTGGACACTTTTTGTTTTTTCTCTCCTGCTACATCAGTTATCACTGGCCAGTCTATTATTATCTTCCTAAGTTTTATTGCCATTTCCATTGTATCCTTTTCCATTCTTTTTGTCCTTTTGGCTTTATACCTCTTAAATTTATTTGTTATTGGGCTGGGGAGTTAGCTCACAGGATTTAGCTCAGTGGTGCCACTGCCTGCCTCGCGAGCACAAGGTCCTGAGTTCGATCCCCGGTACTAAAAAAAAAAAAATGTATTTGTTCAAACCTGTCGTTGGAATTTGGAACAGGAAGTGGAGATAAAAGGTAGATGTTTAAACAGAAGTTTCTAATCTGCTTTTCATAATTAAGTCATAAGGAAATTATCTGATTATGGCCCCTGTTTTACCATCCATGTTTATATACATTGTTGATTAGAAAACTGGGCTGAAAATATATATTCAGTGACCAGCCTACCAGAAATAAGAAAGTATGTTTGAAAATAATTTAATAAAATAATCATTTCCTTCTGCTATTTTAAATTTTCATGGTTTTGCTTTATGTGTGAATTTAAAATGTGCAAAATGTGTATTTATATTTTCTTTCTTCCCCTTTAATGAAATTGTATTTGGAATGTTTGGGTGGATGTTAAGTTGGACATGGTATGGATGAGATTGAAGAAAAGGGTGTGAGTCTAAGTCTTTTTAGTCATTTTTAGGACTTTAAACATAAATACCTAATTTAGCCATTTGCTACTTACAGATATTCTTTCCCTCTTAGATTGACTGTATTTTAATCCAATTTTGAATTGAAGCTTATTTTTTCTCATTTTATATAAAGATTGCTGATTTCTAATTAGAAATCTGAAAGCCTTTGAAAAGTCAAAGTTCAAGTATTACTTTTTTTAAATTAAATTTTATTTTATTTTATCCCATTCTCCCCCTCAAGCCCTCTCCCTTCCCTATGTAAAAAAGCTTTGTTTCCATTTTTCCTTTTATTTTAATTTTTTTTCTTATCCCTTCTTTTCTCCCTCCAAGTATTACTATTTTTAAAGGTCCTGTTCTACATGTATTAACGGTTTCGTTATTGAACTTGAGTTGAAAGTATCCCATAGTCCAAGTAGAGCACAAGATGTAGGTATCTTAGTCTAGATTACTTGAGAGAATTGACCAAGTGCTACTTCTTAAAAATCTAAGTGTTTTTCCTTGGGGAGAGAGGGGAAGTACTAGGGATTGAACCAGAGACTTTGCACTGAGCTACATCCCCACTCCTTACCCCATTTTTTAAAGTTTTAGACAAGATCTTGTTAACTTGCCCACGGTGTGATCCTTCTGCCTCAGCCCAAAGTGCTGGGATTACAGGGATTAGCCACTGTGCCCAGCTCTAAGTTTGTTTGTTTTTTCATGAACTAGTTAAGGAGGCATTTAGTTTTCTTAGAAGAGAATATTGGGAAAATTTAGGGAACATCAGGATATTGAAATAGTATTTAATTCAAATAGGATTTCAATGTTAATGCCTTCTAATTGTTCTGTGAACTTTTAGAAAGATTACATATTTGATTTTACTAGAGTTTTTCCTTTTAAGCATGTTTTTGAGAAGTATTTTTCAAGTCTTGCAAGCACAAGGTCCCGAGTTTGATCCTAGGTACCCCCCCCGCCCAAAGAGAGAAGTATTTTTCATAATCTATTTTCTGTCTTTTTAAAATTAGGCTGCCATTTGTCGATGTAGTCAGCCACTGTCAGGATTCAGTGCCAGGTGCCTGGAGGATGAGCATTTGCTTCAAGCCATTGGTAAAGCCAATCCAGCCAGTCGCTACATGTATGTTGTGGACACCAGGCCCAAAGTAGGTATCGTAAAGACACTGGATTCTATTAACTACCTTTAATTGATGAGTTTTTCCATATTTAAAATATATGAATTCTGTGTATAGATCAATTGTAGCTAATGGTACAAAGGAAATATTCTTTAAGGTACACCAACTTAGAAGACCAGTTCTCAGTGTCCTACATGGTGATTTCTTATATCTTCTGATATGTATACATTGGTGCCTTGGATCACGAACTTAATTCTTTCCACGATTCTGGTTGCAAACTGAATTGGTCTCAGACCACATCAAATTCAGTGGTTAGGTTGAATGTTGACTTTATGGAGAAATTTGATTCAGTTTGTGACCAATTTTGTTTGTGACCAGAACCTTGGAAAAAATTAAGTTCATGAACCAGGGTACCACTGTATTTATTTAGAAAAGCTGTCAGAAACTCTTGATGGTGTATTATAAGTTTTATGTTATTGTGAAGAAGTACCTAATAGTATGTGTGTTGTGAATAAAAATTCTTAGAACTCTATAAAATTTTTAATTGATCACTTTGTGTTAAAATAATGGACGTTAGTTTGAAATATTCATAAAGATAGGAAAAATTATGCCTTAGAAAATATGAACTAGAGAATTAAAGTGGCAAGAAATTATTGTTTTGTTAGGCATTTATGGTGTAACATCATTGGGATGAAGTCAGAATCCTGTTTTCTTTTTATGAGCAGTTAAACAGCCAATTCATATAGGATCCTGAAATTAAGGTAATTAAAATATTCAATGTAATAGCTAACTTTACTTTTTTTATTGTAGCATCGCATGCAGAGCTGGTGGGCTACACAAAAGGACATTGGCAAAATTATAGTGAGGATTTCTTCAAAAATCTGGAATGATGAAAAAATAAGAGAAAGCGATGAGAAAAAGCGAGTGAGCAATACAGAACACAAGCAATTTTAGGCAGCTTTGTGAAGGGAATGGTCACTGTGTTAAAGTAATTCTTGTCATTATGCAGTCTCCCAAAGATAATAGAGAATACAGATTAGATTAATTCGAGTAACTAGGAAATATTAAAGATTAGAAATTAAGTCATATTTTATTTTGTTAAAAATAGAAGAGTTTCATAGGCATTGAGAGTGTTTATAATGGTTCCTATTTCTTTGTATAATCTGGATTGATTAATTGGTTAGAACTCTTTAGGTAATATTAGAAATAAAAAGTGATTATAATATGAGACTTTTTGAAGGTGAGATCTGACTCTTATTTGTGTCTCAAGACCTAATATCTTTTATTTATACAGTTGTCTTTGAACAGAAGAATACATCCTTCTTTGCTTGCTTTACTAGTTAAATTTAAAAGTCAAATAGTAGCTGGGTGTGGTGATGCACACCTGTGATCCCAGCACTCCGGAGGCTAAGGCAGGAGGATCGCCCCAAGTTTGAGGCCAGTGTGTTGCTACAAAGCAAGAACCTCTCTCCAAAAAAACAAAGTCAAGTAGTAATGGGAAACCTTTTTGATATCCAGTTCTTTTTTGTTGTTAGAAATTATATTTATTATCCCCTCCCCCCATGTACAGAAGCATGAAGATATTATCCAAGTCATTAATTACGGTTTATAGAAAATAACTCGTATCCTGTCAACAATATATTTCTATCATTTCTAAAACAGTAGCTATTTTATTTTTCTATGTTAGTTCAAGAAGAGTTTTATGGTGGGTTTTTTGTTTTGTTTTTTTTTTGGATCAAATCAAGACAGCCTTTGTTTTTGTTTTTGTACCGGGGATTGAACTCTGGACCTTACGCTTGTGAAGCAGGCAGAGGCACTGCTGAGCTAAGTCCCGGGCCCAAGACAGTCTTTGTTTATAGGTAACAATTTCCTGACAGAGCCCCTCCCCCAACTCCTAAAAAAATTCTATATCCTGAGTAATAAACTTTTCTTGTACCTTCAGCAAACTTTATATTGAAAAAAAGAATAATTGATAGGTATTTACTCTCATGCACAGTAATAAATCTAGCTGAGCTTCTACACCTTGTTTTGCAGTGTTTACATAAAATAAATCATCTTATCAAGTTACAATGGTAATTTATTGAAATGTAAATATGAAAGCTATACATTCAATCCATTGCAATTTCCTTCTTTTTAAAATATCACCATAGATGTTTCCCTTTTTCTTCAGCCATCTCTCTGAAAGCTGGAATCTTCTCTCAGATCATGTAGAGATACATTAAAAGCACAGAAAAGAAATGTTTTAGTTTGCTGACACAATGCCCTTAAGACTCCTGATATAGTGCCTTTGATATCTAATTCTTAATTTTATTTTAATCCTAATAGGTGCTGAGTAACCAATGACTCAGATATAACTAAACTATACTTGCTATCAACTTGTGGACTCAATCCACTGAATCAAAAGATATTTTTTTCTTCCAATTTACATGTCCCTTCATCCAAATTCATTACAAAAGACTATCTAGTAAATGTAGTAGTAACATGCTACCTGAAATCCTAGTCTGAGAAGAGTAAGCTGTCAAATCCAAAATTAATCTCTGATAACATTTGATATAATAACCAAGGATGATAGGCCCATCAACAGGCTGTTTTTTCTTTGCAGACCATTTTATTTAGGGCCCAATTCTTGAAGATAGATAGCAAGTTGTACACTGTGTTACATGGCTTGTGGGCCTCCAGTAATCTCTAACATGGAGGACCTCAGGCAGAGGATCTCAGGTAATTGGAAGCATGTTTCAGAACTGAATTTTAGGGTCCCTGTGGCTTCTGAATAGTCATGCACTCTAGGTTTGTTCAGAAGTGAATCTCATAGTTTTGTTGTATAAAAGAAAATTTCTGGTGCTGTGTGTGGTGGTGCATGCCTATAATCCCAGCATTCAGGAGGCTGAGTCTGGAGGCTCCCTGAGTTTGGGGCCAGCCTGAACTACAGAGCAAGACCCTATCTCAAAAAACCAAAAAGAAAGAAAAGAAAAAAAGAAAATTGTAGCTCTCTCATCTCTGAATCATTTAGGATTCAGATAGGAGATAATTTCTTTTTAATTTTGGAATATATTATCAACATATGGAAAACTGACTAAAAACATAAATGAATTTGCTTCATGAATCTGTGGGATCTTCCTATCTAGACTTTTCCTCTGTATAACAATTAGTTTGTTACTTTATCACTGTCATTTACTATTAATAACATGACATCTTTGCTTATTAAAAATGACAGCTTACTCGGTTTTGATAAGTTCCTTTACATTCTCTCCTAGCTCAAGTATGGCTTACTGTTTTCATGAAATTTTAGTAAGTTAATTTAAAAGATTAAAGAATTTTGATTCTTAATTTCTAAAATTTTTAATTTCAGCTAAATGCTATGGCCAACAGAGCAGCGGGAAAAGGTTATGAAAATGAAGACAACTATTCTAATATTAGATTCCAGTTTGTTGGAATAGAAAATATTCATGTCATGAGGTCCAGCCTTCAGAAATTATTGGAAGGTATGATTTTGCTTATTTAGTGACCTTTATCTGATAGAAACATAATGTTAGTCACATATAATTTAAAATTTTCTGGTCACATTTTAAAAAGTAAAAGCACATAATCAGTAAAAAAAAAATTGATATTGCAATATTTTACTTTTCATCAAATCTTAGAAATCAGGTGTATTTTATTCTTTGGCCTAGCCACATTGCAATTTTTTAGTAGCCACATTTAGATAACAGTTACTGTGTTAGTACTATTCTAATGGTTTTACAAAAAATTATAGCTGTTAGGTAGAGATTATGGAGTAGTTAGTACATTAAAGATTAATTTATGATAGTCTCCTATTTAAATATTAAGGTATCATCATGTGGAATTTTAAAATATAAGACTTGAAACATTTGTGCTACGGTTTTTTAAAGAGATTGGAGCATTTCTCTTAAGCATAAGGAAGAACAGAAAAATGCATCCCAAAATTCATTATTATGCTTCTATAACAGCATCTAGAGTCTTGCCTGTTTATTTTATCCTCCTCTTTTTGAGTTCATTCATCAGATAGATACTGAAAAGGAGGGGTGGTAACTCTAGCCCCATTTTAATGGAAAATTTTCTTTCTTTTGTTAGTCAATGGTGCCAAGGGACTTTGTGTTAGTGATTTCTACTCTGGTTTGGAGAGCTCAGGATGGCTTCGCCACATCAAAGCTGTTATGGATGCTGCAATCTTCTTAGCCAAGGTAACGCTCTCATATTTCGTTTTGGGGTTTATAGGGTTGGGAAGGAGTGGATTTATCTTTTTGGGTACTGGTATCCATTCTGTTCAGGTAACTTATTATTCTTTACCTCTTTGATGAGGTTCTCTTTAATTTGACCTTTAAAAATATGTAGCAGTGGGGGATGTAGCTCAGTGGCACCTTGCCTGCCTGTCAAGTGCAAGGTCCTGAATTCGATTCCCTGTACTGGAAAAAAAGATATGTAGCAATAATCAAAATATTATATGCCTGTACTAATATACTGAAACAAATCTTGTTTTTCTTTATTACTAATAGCACTAATTTAAAAATACTCAACATCTTTAATCATCAGGGTAATGTAAGTTAACACCACAATGAAATGTCATCTCACCCCAGTTAGAATTCCTATTACCAAAAAGACAATAAACAACACATGATGGTGAGAATGGGGAGAAAAGGAAACTCTCATACATTGTTGTTGGGAATGTAATTAGTACAGCTTTTGTAGAAAATAGTATGGAAGTTCCTCAAAAAATAAAAAAATAGAAACACAAAAAGTTCCAGTTGTACCACTACTGGATATGTCTATCCCAAAATACTTTAAATGAAATGAGTGTGTTGGAGATACATCTGCACTGGTGTGTTTATTGCAGCATCATTCACACTAGCCAAGATATAGAATCAGCCTAGGGTTCATCAGTGAATGATGAATGGATAAGGACAGTGTGGTATATATACACTGCAGAATATCGTTTAGCATAAAAATGAATAAAACTTTGTCACTTGCAACAATGTGGATAGAATTAGGGAACACTATGTTAATTAAAATAAGGCACAGAAAGACAAATACTGCACGGTTCACTAGATGTAGAAGCTAAAGTATTGGTTTCATAGAAGTAAAGAATAGAATAGTGGTTACCAGGGCCTGGGAAGGGTAAAAGGAAGGATTCTGGAGAGAAGATGGTTAGTGCACAACTGTAATTGGATAGGAGTAAATTCCAATATTCTGTAGCACGGTAGAATAACTATGGTTGACAACTATTAATTGCATGTTTCAAAATAGCTCCTAGAAAGAATTTTGAATGTTCCTAGTATAAAGTAATGAGTATTTAAAGTGATATATATGCCAGTTACCTTGAGTTGATCACAACATATTGTATACATGTGTTTAAATTCCACACTGTACTTCATAAATATGTATAATTATTATGCATCAATTAAAAATTAAAGTTCTATTTAAAAAAAGAAAAATTCCTGGGGCAACTGGCCCATATTCATGCTTTTTCTGCCAAAAACAAAAACAACACTGATCTCACTCTGAAAAAAAAGATACTCATTTAATGTAGAAACTTAGAAAGAAATGCCCAAATATTTTGAAACAAATTTTGACTTTCTTTTTTGTTTGTTTGCCTTATTGTAGTTGTTGCTTTTAAGTTATGCTATGGCAACATAATCATTGCAGGTATAGCTCTTTACAGTGCAATTCTTGTTATTGTGGGTTTCAAGTAAATAGATCAAATGGTTTATGCAACATGTGTCCTGCTAGAATCTAAGTCTGTGATTTTCTTTTCAGGCAGTAATGGCTGAAAGTGCAAGTGTACTGGTACATTGCTCTGATGGGTGGGATAGGACTTCCCAGGTTTGTTCCCTTGGTTCGCTTTTACTGGATTCATACTACAGGACAATCAGAGGATTCATGGTAAGGGTTTAGTCAGTCCAGCAAGTGGTTCTCAAAGAGAAGGGGTTTTGTCCTCCCAGGGGACCTTGCAGTGTTAGAAGACAGTGGTGCAGCTGGCCTATAGCTGGTAGAGACCAGGAATATTGCTACACATCCTAAGTGACAGAGTAAAACAAGCCACAGATACTTAAAAGTTATTCTAGAAGGGATTTTTGTTTAAAACACATTCATTTACTAAGTGAATAATATGCTAAGCATGTTTTATATAGGAAGATTAAATTTCTAATTGAACAGAGTTTTCACTTTGTGAAGATAAAGTCCTGGCTTCTGTTTTTTATTTGTTTTTCACCATATGATCAGATTGATTTTCAGACTTTACATTTTAACTCTCACTGTGTAAAAAGAAGGCATATTAGAAAGGTTTTGTGTTTACATTTTTAAATACAGTATCATCTTGAGACGTAAAATCACTAGCCCCTTTTTAGCACTGTTACTCTGTACTAACGTTGAATCTGGGACAGGCTAAATAGAGGTAAGAAAATTATGAGAATATAATGCTAATAAGAAAATAATGTTCCATTTACACCCTTTCCCCCTTTGTGTGGTGCTGAGAGCTGTATCAACTCCCCAGGTCAAATATAATCATTATTTACTGCAAACATGTACTCATAAAAATAAAAATGAGTGAAAATTGGTCACAGATTGGGTATGGCCTAGAGGAGAGGGTCCTCCTACAGGAGGATTTCCAGGTTTCTAAATTAGTTTCCTGGACCTTTCCTGCTGTGTACTGACCTAAGCAGAGGAACAGTTTTCTTCAGAAAGATGCAAGTTAAAATTTAGACGTCAGTATGTAGAAGAATATGGAGGACCCGGAGTCAAATTTGCAGTTCCAGCCTGAAGATCACTTGCCCAAGGTCACACAGGGGTAGAAGTGGCAATGCCAGGGTGTGAGCCTTCGCATGTACCCAGAATCTGCATCCTTGACCATCAGGATATATAGCATTTTGCCCAGCTCAGAGAGATTTAAGACAGAACCAGAGAAGCTCAAGCTGATCATCTTGACACTAGGAAAATAATGTGCTCATGTAATGAAATTAAAGGTATATTAAATACTAAGAAGGTACATTTTTCTTAGATTTGAAAACATTGGAAATCTGTTATTTCAGTGGAGTTGATAAGTAGAGAAGCTGTGACAGTGAGGAAAGATAAAGATAGTGCACTTCAGGAGGATGAATATCGACTTTGGATTTCAATATAGACTTATTGGTATTTTTATCATTGACTTTTTTCTTGAAAAAATTTTACATAAGCATTGTACATATAAGCCAAAAGGTTTAAAATGTTCACTCCGTCTTCTACTGAGTTAATTATTGTTAGCATTTTAGTTTACATTTTCCTTCCATTTTGTGTTTTATTTGTACACAAAAAAATTTAAGTGCAATACTGATTTATAACATGCATATTCCTTTACAATGTAGTACAGCTGACATATTTTGTCATGAGACTCCTCTATTCCTTTTTATATATTTTCACTCCTTTTAAGCCTCACCTCTAATCCCAGGTTTTGGCCATCTTTTGCATATATTTTTTGGGGCGGAGAGGGAGATTTTGTTTAGTTCAATACATTAAAAGCATAAATACTATTTTTAAGCTAATAGAATTGAATCCATTCTAATAAAATGTTGAAAAGTGGGTTTTACCTTTTTTCATTAAGGTTTTAATAGAAAAAGATTGGATCTCGTTTGGACATAAATTTTCAGAGAGGTGAGTGTCAGTTACACATTTATGACTTTCAATTAGAGTACCATTATGTATCTATTCTTTATGAACTCACATGACTTGGGAGATGAGTGTGCTGTGATTTTGTGCTGTATAGAATATGAGATTTAATCTTCTGTCATTTCTTTCAAATCTAATACCTTTGTAATTTTTGTGGCTATTTATTACCTTTCTTTTTTCTGGATTGTAATATTTAGAAGGCAACAGATCCTTTAAAATTTTTTTTGCAGGGCTGGGGATTTAGCTCTGTGGTTCTGCCACCTGCCTCGCAAGCATAAGGTCCTGAGTTTGAGCCCTGGTACCAAAAAAAAAAATTTAGTTGCAAAACTCAGTTATACATGGGTGCAATTAAACAGAAGAAAGGCTAGGGGTTTTTTTTGTTTTGTTTTTCACTTGCTAATGTAACAGTGTTTTAGGATTACTTTTTGTAAGTATGTTTAAGTTTAGCATCACCTGCACAATGGACTTCTTTCAGAGCATTATTAAAAGCTTGTGCTTTCTGGGGGGTTAGGTGTGGCCATTTGGATGGTGACCCAAAGGAAGTCTCACCAGTGTTTACTCAGTTCTTGGAATGTGTGTGGCATTTGACGGAACAGTTTCCACAAGCCTTTGAATTCAACGAAGCATTTCTTCTTCAGATCCATGAACATATTCATTCATGCCAATTTGGAAACTTCCTTGGAAATTGTCAGAAGGAAAGAGAAGAACTCAAGTAAGATGATTTGATGAAAATGGGGTCTCCTTCCCCCCTTATAGTGAAAGTCCTACAACTATAAATCGTAGTCGACTTAATAAAATGTCCTGACAATATGAAATAGAACTGAATTTATTGTAGATCTTATTGTCTGTGTTTCTGAAGTTAAGTACCCTTCTAACATAACCTCCCCCCTCAGGGAAATAGTAAGAATACATTTTAAATATATTTTGAAGTGTAATATATGTACAGAAAAATGCATGTAGCATAAGTGTGCAGTTCTATAAATCTTACCACATACCTGTGAAACCAGCATCCAGAACAAGAAACCCAGCACCTTAGAAACTTCCTCATATTGCTTTTTAGGTTTAATACTTGTCAGATTTCATTTCAGGACAGAGGAAGCTTTATATTATTTTTTTTCCCTAGAAATCACTGATTATTAGTTTTAAAGTTTATAAACGATTTACAACTGTTGGTTTATTTTAAATTGAGAGGGAGCCTTATTGCTCTTCTCATATTCCTAAACAGACAGTTCTTTGGGGGAAAATAAGTGTACCTATGTTGGCTGCAGTGTGGTTGCAGGTGAAACCCTAACTCACCTGTTTTTCCCTAACCAGTCTGAGAGTAGGAGTGTTTAGCTATGTTTTGATGCAGGAGACATCTGGGGTAAGACTGAAAGATGGTGTATGTATTTTAGCTTTGGCTTCTGAGTTTAGCTCTTACAGTAGCAGTAAAGAGCAGTTTAAGATTCTTGACCATCCAAATGATGTAGAGGGCCGGGGATTTAGCTCAGTGGTTCTGCTGCCAGCCTCGCAAGCTCAAGGACCAGAGTTCGATCCCCGGTACCAAAAAAAAAAATCTGCAAATGATGTAGTAGAGAAGCTAAATCTCATAGTAGTTTGGAGACAGTCATGTGCTCACACTCATAAGAGAGTCAGTGGCAGAACTGAGAGCACTTGGAGAATGCTAAAGGTAAGTAAAAGAAACACAGATGAGGGCCGGGGATTTAGCTCAGTGGTGCCGCCGCCTGCTTTGGAAGCACAAGGTCCCTGAGTTCGATCCTTGGTACCAGAAAAAAAAACAAAAACAAAAATGAGGAAAGTATGGTAGAGATGAACAAATCAAAAGACGCCAAGCTTTTAGTTTTGTGCTACAGTCATTCACAATTGTTTATCGTGATTTGGCGCAGGAAACTTCTCTTGGAGTTTCTTGGAACCATTTTAGAAAAAACTAATTTTTTAAATTAGTGCCAGAAGTCCTCAGAAATGGGAGTATTTCCTAGCAGTCTTTCTCTAAGAACGCAGCTCTGCAGAGTCATGGAAAACTGAGACTGTCCACTGTTCCCTAACTTCCAGTCTGCATTGCCCTCCACCACCATTCTGCCCGTTCCCATCAGGTCTTAGACTTGCAGGGTAACTGGCATGTGCACTTCTTGCATAATGCCTTGATTTTGCCTATTTCCCTTTAAATTTTCCATTTCTTTTTTTTTTTGGTACTGGGGATTGAACTTGGGACTTTGCTCTTGTGAGGCAGGCACTGGAACCACTGAGCTAAATCCCTGGCCCCACATTTTCCATTTCTAATTCATTCGTGCATATGGTCCTGCCTGTGATACTTGCCACCACAGCCCAGATCCAAAGTGAAGAGATTAAGGCCAAACAGAGCTACATTCATACGTGGCTCTGCATTTATGTGTGGTAATTTGAAATAGAGACCAAATTTTTGAAATCATGTGAATTGAGAGGAATCCCTTAAGTGTACAGTTAAAAGAAAAATGACATACCTATGTTGTGTTCAAGAGACATGACTTTATTACACGCTTATGAATGAAAAAGGAAAAAACGATACAAAGACAAGAGGTTAGACTACAAATGAAAAACTAAAACCTAATCTACTTTGGAGACCGTTGCCTGATTTATAAAAATTAGTGTTAACAGTAATACTTTGCAGCTCCATGAAAGATCTTTGTGTTTTTCTCATTATGTTAAGGTTGGAGGAGAAGACTTATTCCCTGTGGCCATTTCTTTTGGATGACCAAAAGAAATACTTAAATCCTCTCTACAGTTCTAAATCTCAGAGGCTTATGGTTTTGGAGCCAAATACAGTATCTTTCAATTTTAAGTAAGTTGGTATTGTTAAGATGTTTATATTTTCTTTTTCTCAAAAAAATGTAAAAGTTAATTATTAGCTGGGTGATGTGGTGCATGCCTGTAATCCTAGCACTGAGAGGCTGAGGCAGAAGGATTGCAAGTTCAAGCCCAGCCTGGACAACTTAGCAACTTACTGAAACCCTATCTCAAAATTTAAAAAATGGGTGGGAATAGGGATGTGCACAGGCCCTGGGTTCAATCTCTAGTATTTAAAAAAAAAGCAAAAAACAAAACAAAACAAAAATCCCTTGTTACTTTAATTATATGTATTTATGGGGGACAGCATGATAATTCAATACATGTACGCAATGTATAATGATAAAATTGGAGTAGTTAGTGTTTCTGTATCTCCATATTTTAAAAAATGTTTTACTAACATAATTGTATATATTTATAAAAGATAATGTGATATTTCAGTACCATATACAGTGTGTGTGATTAAATTGGTAATTAATGTTTCCATCTCCTTAATCATTATGTGTTTAAAGCCTTTGAGCTTCTCTCCTCTATTGATTAATAAAATGTATGAAAGGTTCTGTGAATTGCAGTCACCCACTCTACTGTAGAATGCTAGAGCTTATTGCTTCTGTCTGTGTTTTGGTAAAAGTTTTTATTTTGTCATAAAGGTTTTGGAGAAACATGTACCACCAGTTTGATCGAACATTGCACCCTAGGCAGTCTGTATTCAATATAATCATGAATATGAATGAGCAAAATAAACAGTTAGAGGAAGACATTAAAGACCTAGAATCTGTAAGTATTCTGAAGTATCTATTGTAATATATTTAGAATATTAAATTAGTTTAATTTTCTGTATTTAAATTGTTTTCAGTTTTGGATTTCTTTTTTTTTTTTTTTTTTTGATTTCTTTGATAACAAATGAAGTTGAATGATTTTTCATATCTTTTGGTTTTCCTTTTCTATGAATAGAATTCACACTTGTGTTTATTTTCCTTTTGGCTCATTTACCTTGTTCTTGTTGATTTGTAGGGGTTCTGTATATACCATACAATAAGTAATTCTCTGTCAGTTATGCATATTGCACATAGCTTTGTCCAGTCTGTTCTTTTTTCCACTTTACTTATGGTATATTTTATAGAGATGTTTCAAGTTTTCATGTCAAATTGATCCATCTTCATGTATTATTTAGTGCGTGTGTCTTAAGATCCCTCTCCACCCTGACTGTCCTGTAATCTTTTCTTTGCTGTCATATATAACCAAAAAGGATCAGTAAGTATGTGTGTGTTTGTGTATTTACAAACATATATATATTTATTTATTTAAAATCCCAGGGAGATGTTTTAACACAGTGAGGCTGTTTTGTCTGCTCCTCAGGCAGATGTCTCTTGTCATCTCTTACGTAAGGAAGTAGTGACTGCTTGAGTGACTTATAGAAGGGTATGTTAAAAGAAAGGCAGGTCCAATATATGGGTAGTACAAGATGGTTATCTGGAGATCAGCCAGAGGCTTTGTGAAGCATGATACTCTGCCAAAGGACATGTTTAAAATATTCTGTTGTATTACAAAGAAGTTCTGGGCTGGGAATTTAGCTCAGTGGTTCTGGTGCCTGCCTTGCAAGTGCAGAGTCCTGAGTTCGATCCCCGGTACCAAAAAAAAAGTTCTGTTTCAATCTAAAGCCTGTTATGTTCCCCTAATGAACCATTATAGGAAGACTCTGTAAGAAAAGCTCTTTACAATCAGCAAGACCTTTAGCTAAATAAGTGCGATTTTTATGTTACATAGTTATGATTTCAAGGTGTCTCAAATATATTTCTTTTTTTATGAAATGTTTATGTGTTATACTTTTACATCATGTGTATCCTTTTAAAATGTGAAGGCCTAGTAGCCATTTGCAGTCAAGTCTGGCTAACTGGATTGTTTGATAAATATAAAAACATAACTAAGGATTTTCTGCTACAAAAATTGTAAACTATTAGAATTTGCAGTTACTTTAGATATACTAGATTTTGTTAAGTTTTTGAGGTTTAGTTTTGCATCATACATGCAAAAGTATATTTTTTCACCCAACATATATATTGACCATGAAGTATCTGTTGTAATTTTATTTTCAAATTTTTATTCGTTTTAGAAAATTAAACAGCACAAAAATAAGCAAACAGAAGACATTCTTACTAAGGAATTGTTAAATTCAGTTCATCCGGAATCACCTGCCCTCAAAACCTCCCTGTGTCTTAAAGAGCAGACTTTGCTACCCGTGAATGATGCACTTCGAGCTATAGAGGGCAGCAACCCAGCAGATAATCGTTACAGTGACTATGCAGAAGAGTTTTCCAAATCAGAACCTACTGTGGTCAGCTTAGAGTACGGTGTGGCAAGAATGACTTGTTAGATCAGAGTATTTTCTGGACCGAGTGTAGCATAAGAAATTACAGTGAGGATGGTCTGTGCCCATGACCAAAAAAGGATTTGTCTAATAATGATCTTGGGGTTTAACAGTAGGCGAATAGTTGAAGAATGGGTAATAAGTACTCTTGCAAGAGAAGTAAGTCTGGTTAATTGCATTTCTGGACAGAAATGACATCAATTCTGTAGGAAATAACTGGTATCTGGTAGGTTTACTCAAAACATTTTGCACTCTACACTAGTGAATTGACATTTCTGTATGATTTATGTTAATTACAAACATAAACAGCTTTCTTAAAGGTAATTAAATTGCAAGAAAGTGAAATTTGACAGACAAAATGACCCTTTAATTGATATGGCATGTACTTTCAGTTATGTAACTGTGTAACTATGAGTATTTACATCTTTTTGCCTTTTAGTAATATTGAATATTGAAGTGCCATGAAAAATATTTCCAAGAGAGCCTTAAAATAAATTCTGTTTATTCTTTACCCTTAAGTTTTATATCATAGAACAGATTATTTTGCTTGTTTTCCTTTGGCCAGCCATGCTTTGTTCATTTAGCATTGCACTTTCCACACTGCAGGAGTTGCATGCCTCAGTACTCCTGTACAAACAGTCACAGAAATTCTCATTTTAGTTCATGCTTAGCTGGCCCACTTCCATATTTGAAATTAATGCAACTGAAAGTTTTGTTCTGATTATAATTTGTTTAGTGCTGGGTGTGATGATTTATTATTTACAGATTATTGATTTTATGTATAAGCATATTTGACTGTCTTACATATGGATTACTGCATTCTATTGATTCTTACTTTGTGGTTGGCTTTAATCCTTTCATAACTTTGTAAGCTTGAAGAGCTAAAGCTCTTAAAACTGTTAGTAGAAACAATGAATAGTACATATATTTTTTCCACTGCCTTATCTCTCAAGGAATTACCATTCCTAGAATATTTGACTTTCAATGCACCCAAAACCTTTTGGGTAAAGTAAAAAGGGATGTGTAGATAGTTTAGGTTTGGCTTGGTTGCATGAATTTTAAAGCAGTGTTTTCTATATGCAACATATATTTCCTCTCTGAAATATAGAAGAAATAAAGGAAAACTAAGGAAATCCTCGTTAATCTTTAACAAAAGCAACTTAAACTCTGGGGGAGAATTTCATTTTGCCATGTTATATTAACTATTTACTCTGTATACTAGTACGTATCTTTAAATTAACAAAAAGTCCACCATATTTGGTAGTATTATCCAAATGGCTTTAAAATTGAAAATGTAAGTAATATGGTTGGCATGAGGTACAATTCAAGAGTACTAGGAAATTTGCATAGGATCCCTCATGCATCTCTTTATTACACCTGTATCTGCTAGATGTGAACATATACATCTTTTTCAAATGAAAAATGCTTTATTGTAAGAGTGCTTATCTGATCCTGTTTATTTTTCCAGTGCATTTCTGTAATATCTTATATAATAAGAAAAGTATTTCTTTTTAAACAATAAGGATATAAAATATAGTGTGGGATTAACCAATCTATTGCATATTTAAGCACTGGGAAAGGAACTTAATGTCTGTGGCCACAAGAAGCTTTTGTACCTTGGTTCTAGTCAGACTGTGGATTTGGAATTGTCTATGTCAGACTTCTTACGTTCAACCCTTTGTTTTTTTGTCATAATCTTCAACTTTAGACATATATGTATTTATGTGCTCACATGTGGACTGAGAAATCAGATAACATCCTGAGGACCTATAGGTTATATGTTGGCAAAAAGTGGTTTGTGTTTGTTTTATAAAATTGGATTCATGTTCATCATGTTTGGGAATGTATAGCATGTAAATTATTTCATGTATTATTTAAAGATAATTAAATGTTCATATTTTACTTTGAATGTTTTCTTTTGGAAAAAAAGAGAAGAGATCTAGTTGTCTTTTTTTCTCACCTAGGTAAATGGGCTTTTATAGTGCAGTAATGTAACAGAGCAAGTTTTTGGCATTTCATTTCCCAAAAGATTGTTGATAAATAATTCCTCTTATATGTATTTTTTTTTAAATTCCAAAAATATTTAAAAATAGGCAGCGTGGGCTAAAAGACTTAGCAGATACAGTTAATAATGTTGTTAAGTTTTCCTTTGGCCCCTGGTGCAGGAGCTTATGTTGCAGCCAGTACTTCATTGTGCCTTTGCTGGCTGTTGGAAAGCCAGCGTCAGTGAGCACCTGCATCGGAGGTGAACTGTCTCTCCAGAGGCAGATCTAGCTGTCACTACAGAGAAGAAAATGGCCGGCCAAGAGGAGCAGAGCTTGCTGGGGGTAGGTGAGAAGCAGCATGGGAAATCTTGAGTTAAAAAGATGAAGCACTCTTTTTTTCCTTCTGTGTATTTGGCAAGAAAACAGACAGGAATGTGGTATGTCTAGTCTTTGTGAATGCAGAAGGTCAGGTTTTAATTAATTTATTTATTTATTGCAGTACTAGGGATTGAACCCACAGCCATGTGCTTGCACTGCTACTGAGCTACATCCTCAGCCCATTTTTAATTTTTGAGGCAAGGTCTTGCTAAATTGCTGAGGCTGGCCTTGAACTTGTGATCTTCCTGTCTCAGCCTCCCACCTATCTGATATATTATGGTTTAGAAAAATGTTCCCTAGAAGGTTCAGAGGTGGGGCTTTTGGAAGGTAGTAGATCATGGGGACACTGACCTCATCAGTGGACTGATCCATTGGTGAGTTCATAACTGAAGGTACTGTTAGGAGGTGGGGCCTGGTTGGAGGAGGTGGGGGGGGTCACTGGGAGTGTGGCTTTAAAGGATATATTCTGCACTTGATCTTAGCCAAAAGGCCGAGAAGCGATGAGGGATATATTCTGTCACTAGCCCTTGACTCACTCACTGTCCATCGTCTCTCCTTACTTGCCCTCTGTGCTTCCCAGCTGTCATAAGTAGCTTTGTCTACCATGCCCTTCCTCTGATATTTCTGTCTTGAAGCCCTCTGACAATGGACTGAAACCATGAATCAAAATAAACCATTTTCAATATACAGTGCTACTTGAGTTATTTCTAGGAAAGTAAAATATTCTTTTGTACACACTGAACTATTTAGGTAAAATGACATGTCTAAACTCTGTTTTAATGTATTCTAACAAAAAGAGAATTGCAATAAAATGGAATTGGCAGAATGCTATTAATGATCAACTGTGGGTGAACAAATGAATAATCATTTTGATTATTTGAGTACTTGCATAATAATTTTTAAAACAGAATTATTTGAACATTTTAATAAAATCCATGCCATGAAGTATAATGCAGCCATAAACACAAAGTGAGTGTCATAAACACAAAGTGAGTATATTTCTAGTAATCTCCAAGTTTCATTGTTAAGTTAAAAAAAGTATAGAACAGTGTATGTATCCTTTGCCTAAGGAAAAAGGAAATATGTTTATGCATATACATATACAAGCGCATATATTTGCAAAAAGAAAGTAGAAAATGTAAACTAGAAAGAGAAATATTTACAGTGGTCAGGATGGAGGAGTAGTGGGAAGAAACAGGAAGGAAAGTAATAAAAGCAAGACTTCTACATATATTTTTATGTAAGTTTAAATGTTGAACTGTTTTACCTATTTAAACATGCATTAAATCCAAAAGGAAGAAATAAGCAAATCCTAAAATTGAAAACAAAATACCTCAGTTGCAAATCAAACTATTGATGCAAACAAATTATTTCAAGTGACTTTTGAATATATTACTCTAACTGTACATTCTTGGTAGGATATTTATAAGGATGGGAACTTTGGGGAAATCTTAAATTCCACCCAGTATTCTTATTTTTATGTTAGTAAAACTGATTGTAATTTTAAAACCGTATGTCAGGCATTTTAAAGATAATGTAGCACTAATGGATATAGCATCTTTTTCCCCATTTTTTCATACATGTAAAGTCATTTATATTTTTCTGTGAATTATCTGTGACTCTTGGTCAGCTTTCCTAATGAGTGGTTGCTGTATTTCTTAAGCATTTGTTTCATTTTAGGGGAGATTAACTCTTTTTTACATATTTACAAATAATAGTTTCCCATTGTTTCTATTGCTTCGTATACTTTTTACTATGCAGGATACTCAATTTTAGAGTCTTATTAATCTTCTGTTGCTTCATGTTTTGCATCACATCTAGACTTCTCCAGTCTTAGGTCATAAAAAATTCACCCATGTTCTAATACTTAGAGGGTTTATTTTTTTATATTTGACTGTCTGACCTATGTAGAATTTGTTCGAGTATGTAAAAAGAGTTGAAGTTTTTTGGTTTTTTTCTATTGAGAGTAAGATGCTGATAGGATGCCCCATCTCCCTCATATGTTTTTATATTTGCAGCCTCTACAAACAAAGGCATTTTCATATAACCACATAAAACAGTCACATTCAGGAAGCTAACATTACTACTATCTAATCCTCAGATCCCGTTCAGAGTTTACACTTGTCTTTCAAATGACCTTTACTCTTTGTTTTGCAGTACTAGAGATTGAACCCAGTGCCTTCTCACTAAGTTACACCTCAACCCTCCACCCTGTTTTATTTTTTTATCTTGAGACGGGATCTCACTAAGTGGCTAAATTGTCTAGGCTAGACTTGAATTTTCAATCCTGCCCCAGTTTCCCAGAGTGCTGAGATTACAAGCATGCAGCACCAGGCCTGTGCCCCCCCTTTTTTTAAATAAAAAAATTCAATCTAGAAGCACATGTTGAATTTGGTTGTCAAGTCTCTAACTTCTTCAGTCAGGAACAGTTTGTCAGTGTTAAGTAAAGCTTCATTTCCTTGCATCCTATCAGGTTAAATCAGAATAGTTCAATTCAGTCTGCTCCTGGTCATGTTCCTTGTTATGAAATGATATATTCCAGGCTTCCTTGCTGTAAAATTATTTATTTTCACTTAATAACTAATAATATTTTGGGGGAAAGCACTAATCCTTCATATAAAACCCAAAGTTCCTTTTTTACCTTACTTAGGCTTCTAGTGGATTGTCACCTACATTAACACTGTTTGACTCGCATCTCTTCTGCTTCACTGAAGTTACTCTGCTTCTTCCTCTATCTATCCCTTCTCTCTTTTTCAACTGTTATTTCCATTCAGGTCATGTGAAATTGCCAAACTATTCTTCCATCCTCGTCCCTGGTTTTGTTTAATCTTGAGTATTACTATCATCAGTGCTCAACACTATCCTCCCAACATTTCTCCTACAGAAGTTGTTTCCTACAAAATTCCTCAGAATGGTCTGTAAGTGTAATATTCCCTTATTTCTTGCATGTTTAAAATGTCTTCTGTTGGATTCTTTAAGGCAAACACAGCTGGATGCAAAATTATTTGATTACATTTTTTTCAGTACCAGGAATTGAACTCAGGACCTTGTCCTTGCCAGGCAGGTGCAGTGCCACTGAGCTAAATCCCCAACCCTTGATTACATTTTCCTAGGGTTTTTTGAAAATGCTTTTTTTTTGTTGTTTTTTATATTTGTCAAGAAGTTTGAAACCAACCTTTCTTTCCCTTGTGAGAGACTTGTTGTTTAACTAGAAGTCTAGTAGGTTTTTTCCTTTTATGTTCTAGTTTTGCAGGCTTATATCTTGATTTCTGTAGGTTGGTTTTTCCAAGTACACCAAGTTCCAATTCAAATGGAGATTCAGAATTGCTTTTATTTCTCCAATGTTTTCCTGAGCCATCATAATTTTAAATACTAGTTTTATTTATCTTCTTCAGGGGCTCCAATAATAGGAATATTAATTCTTGTTTATCTTCTATGTGTGTCACTTTTCTCTCTGATCTTTTTTTTTTGGTACTGGGGATTGAACTCGGGACCTTGCGCTTGTGAGGCAGGCAGCGGAACCACTGAGCTAAATCCCTGGCTTCTTTGTTCTTCTTAACGTATGTTCAGCTATTCATATCTCCTTTTACAACTTAAAAATTTAATCTTTATTTCTGAGTATTTTTCTTTTGATTCAATTTCTTTAATGTCAACAGTTCTTGTTTCACATCTTTTTGTTCATTTTCTATTTTCAGTTTTGTATTTATTATTAGTGATTGTTTATCAGATCAACCCTTGCTTTTTAAAAAAACTTTTTAAATATATGTTTTAGTTTTGCTGCCATTTGCCTCTTCTTGTAACCTTTCTCTTAGAGGGGTATCATCTGTTCACATGTTCTCATTACCTTTTTTTGCTTTCCTCTTGCTTCACATAGATGCTTGTTTTGTTGTTTTGTGTGTAGTGTGTGGGAAGGGTCCAACTTCATTCTTTTGCATATAGATAGCTAGTTTTCCTGGCACCATTGTTGAAGAAACCTCTTTGTACTCATGAATAGTCTCGGGTTCTTTTGAAAATCAATTGAACATATATGTGAGGGTATATTTTTAGGTCTGTTTTATTCTGTTGGTTTTTGTGTCTGTTCTTATGCCTGTACCACACTTTTTTGGGGTTTTTGGGGGGTTTTTTGGTACCGGAGATCGAACTCGAGTCCTTGCCCTTGCACAACAGGCGGTGAAACCACTGAGCTGAATCCCCAGCCCTACACTGTTTTGATTACCATAACTTTATAGTAAGTTTTGAAATCAGAAAGTGTGAGTCTTCTAACTTTTTTTCTTTTCCTTTTCAAGAGTGTTTTGGCTAGTTAGGGTTTCTTAAGACTCCTTAACAATTTGGGGATAAGTTTTTCTATTTCTGCAAAAACCATAGGATTTTGATAGCTATTTCATTGAATCTGTAAATTGCTTTGAGCAGTATTTACATATCAACAATAATTTCTTCCAGTTCATGAGCATAGGATGTCTTTCCACTTATTTCTGTCATCTTTAATTTTTTGAGCAAAATTTTATAATTTTTAGCATACAAATCTTTAGCCTACTTGGTTAAGTTTTATTCCCAAGTATTTTTGACACTTTTAATGGAGTTATTTTAAAATTTTTCCTTTTCAGATCCAGCTTATAGGTGTACAACTGATTTTTATGTGTTTTTTTGCATCCTGCAACTTTGCTGAATTTGTTAGCTTTGACATTTTTTTCATGGAATCTTTAAAGTTTTCTATATTTAAAATCATGTCATTTGTAAATGGAAAAAAAAATGTACCTTTTCCTTTCCAATTTGAATGCTTTTTTTTTCTCTCTTACCTAATTGCTCTGACTAGATCCTCTACTAATATATTGAATAGAATTGGTAAAAGCAGTCATCCTTGTCTTGTTCTTGATCTTAGAAAAAAAGCTTGCAGACTTTCACTGTTTAGTATAGTGTTAACTATGGAGTTTTCACATATTACTTTTATTATGCTGAGGAAGTTTTCTACACCTAGTTTGGTGTTTTTTTCTTTTTGTGCATCAAGATGATCATATGAATTTTTTGGATCTTTCTGTTAATATTGTGTATTACATTGATTTTCCTATGTAAACCACTCACATTTATGATTTACAAGGTAGTGTGTGTGCAGAATCAGGTGTGGAAGAATCCAGAAGGGCCATTTGCACACTGGAGATCCAAAAGGTCCAGTCAGAAGCCAAAGACCTGGAGCTCACTCCTCAGTCCCTTGTGAGACGATATCAGGCAGCCAAAGGGTCTGCATTGCAAGGCTGAAGAGTGCATTGGAAGCCTGGAGACAGATGTCCAAAGGTAATGGCAAAGACTAGAGCTCCTCTGAAGAAACAGGACTGAGCCTTTCTTCTTTCCCTTTTTATTCTATCCAGGCTACAAGCCTGTTGATTGGTGCCACCCACATCCAGGGTAGTCTTCCCTCTTGAGTAAGTCAGTCATCCAGATGTCCTATTCAAGCTGACCCCACAGTTAATTATCACAAGAGGGGAGAAAAACTTCCTTAGTTTCGTTATCTGAACCATCATCCATCAGCTCATCTTCAGTTACTTTTTTGATGTGGTTTCCAAAAATATGAAAATTAAACAGGCTATATAAGAAATTCTAGACTCTGTTGTCTGAATGTAAGTATGTGGAATTGTCAAAGGCATGTAGTGGGACACATTTCACATGAATGAAATTAGGTGAGTGGAATGCTCTT